GAAATATAAAATTGTTGAGTATAAAATTGATGGCATGTATAGATGCATGAATGGGTATTTTTTTTTTTTAGAATAAGAATACATGTATTACTGTCAATGACTTTTGATCAAAAGCGTTAGGTATATTATAATTATTTGGACCTTTTTCCGTCAATTCACTACCAATTTTTTTTTTTTTGGTTTCTCCGTTTTTTTTAGATTATTATATATGTATATTATATCATTTTGATTTTGGGGGCATGAAGTGTGCAATATGTTGTAGTATTGTTTCAAATAAATTATTAGGACCATAACGCTTACACCACATGTACTCGACCAAGTAGCTGTTCAGCATTAGTCGGTAGGTAGCCCACTGTTTTTTATCTCGAGATTTTATTTTGCTCCAAGAACTCTTAATACTCTTAATAGTATTAGTGTGAGCCAAAGTATTATGATCTACAAAATTAATAAGCCAAAGAAACTTTTCTAGTTCCTGTTCCCGACAGATCAGCACGTACATTGTTGCCAATTATTATTGAACATGTTGCTGCAGGCACGACAATAATATTACTGATGAGTGGCGTTCCTACAAAAGGCTTGATCTAACTTATCAACACATTTCCGTGAATCATTTCATTAATATACATATATAGTCATCTAAAAAAAAAAAAACGGAAAAACGAAAAAAAATAGTAGTAGTGAATTAACGGAAAAGGTCCGATTATTTTTATTGTGATAACGAAACAAATGTAGTGATCGAAGTGAAAAAAAACAAGTTGACACACTGTTAGTTATCTTGTTAAATTAAAATGTAAGTAATAAATAGCTGTTTATTTTTCGATGAATACTATCATAGGTATATAGGTTATGATACCTATAAAGATATAAGATCAAATTATTTAAGAGTATTTCGCTATGAGTAACATAAATTATTATATAAATATTCAATACTGACAAAAACCAAAACGTGGATATTACTAAAATTACTATAATATTATGCAAACATTTTGTTTATCCTAACGAGTTTGGCAATATAGAATCATCCGATCATTAAACAATTTCAGTTATGTATCATCATAAATCGAGTAAAACAATAATGTTATGAACGCAACATTTTTCGATGAAATCATCAATATTAACTTTTATAAGTTTATAAATATTTGACAGTTATAACTTAACATCTTTAAATTATTCAAATTAATGGTAGATATATAACTAGTGTGCAACCTGAGTACCAAACTGTCTAAAGAAAAGAAATGTAAATTAAATATATGGCCCCTAATTATCTAACTATACATATTTTTATACAGAATACTAGAATATAAATATTAATGGCGACCTGTTTGTTGAATAGTTATATAATGTCCAGTATTATTCGTAGATAAAACAACTATTTAAATAAATAAAAAAATAATTTAATTTAGGGTTTATTTATAAGTAGTGATTCAATACATTAATATACTGCATACCTATGTGTAATAACTTGTATGTGTGTTTTACTATTCACAGAGACAGTAAATAATATCTGAAAATTAACCTTATATACTATATTATACGCTTGTATAAATATATCAAACATAAAAAGAAATCACCTTTGGGGACTTAGGGTAAATATATGATATTATATATTATTTAGACTGTACATGTGTTGAATATATCTGAGTATGGACTTTGAGTAAAACCATTGACAGAATAATATGAGATCAAAMGACGTGGTATGAATGGCAAACGGCATTTATCATATTATTATATATTATTGTACCTATATATAACATATTGCAGTATATATATATATATATATATAT